CTAACCACCACATCTATCGACTGGGATAGAGCTGAGGCTGCTCGAAACACCACGTTCGAATGTTCGTTCGAACACTAAATTTTTAAAGAAGTTCAAGTAAACAGAAAGTCTTAATATGCTTGAAAGATGAACAATTAACGGCAGCATTTGAAATGTATAGTGAAACTTATTCCAACGATGAACTAGCCAAATGCCGTCCATTCAACTTCAACTGAGTGGAGAGGCTGGAACATGCCACATATGATGTCCACCCTATTCTTTGGAAAAGAAACTCAAAATCTTAAAATCTCTAACTGTTCGGCTGGACTTTTGAAAATCATCTCTCTTTGCTTTCCAAACCAATTTTTCGATATAACGTTTCCAGAAACAAACTTCTGAAAGAAGATGGGTACTGTTGAAACAGCTTCGTCTATTTTCCGATGATATTCTCTTCTCCATATCTTCCACGAAAATTATCACTAAATGGATAAAGAAAACCTTACGTGATCTTTGTTCTTTTATGTGACTTGGTACAACTTCTCCTTAAAGAGAAGGAGGTGACGAAGAGTGTGATGCGCGACATTTTTGAACACTTCGTTCTCATGAATCATATCACGAACAAAAACAAGTTTCATTTCTGGTTTTTTCCATAGAATAGTGTCAAAAATGCAACAACCTTGGTCTTTCTTCTTGCACATTTTTCTTGCTTATCTCCTTCCAAGATCTCATTATCGTCTCATCGTATTCGTGCGTGTCCGCCGCCTTTTTAAATCTGTTGCAGGAAGCCTTGATTTCAGATGAGTACCAGTTTCGTCCTCGTATTCATAATGGTGATGATGCCTATTTGCCTTGCAATTGAGTGTTACGCGGTAATGACGTTCCTTGTTCAGCGCTTGATAAACATTTAGAAACACACTTGACTGTTCATCCTTTAAAAGAAGGATAAAGCTCTCAGTTCCCAAGATCGACTTTCTCTTAACCTCGGCATTGGAATATGAATGTGCCGTTTTCTTGTTCAGCAATCGCGAGGTTTTTAAACAGCATACATTTACTTCCATAAAGAAAACACAATACAATACAACGCTAGCTGACGTTTCGGCAGTATCGCCTTCTTCAGAGCCTGGAAGGGTATACTGATATACAATCTACTAGGTCAAACGCTTCAATAACACTTACAAAAAGACGAAGAACTCTCCTGCAATTTTGTAAGTGTTATTGAAGCGTTTGGCCTAGTAGATTGTATATCAGTATACCCTTCCAGGCTCTGAAGAAGGCGATACTGCCGAAACGTCAGCTAGCGTTGTATTGTATTGTGTTTTCTTTATGGAAGTAAATGTATGCTGTTTAAAAGCTCTCAGTGTTGACCAATCCCTGAGGAATGCGCCATGTATCCGACTTCACTAAGCATCGTTGGAGATGATTGAATGAATATCTGGCCTATATAATGATTAGCGGTGCATATCGATATACCGTACCAGTGCTGCTATTCTCCCAAGCGGGTACAAATTGCCGAGCCCAAACCCCGTAGGAATGGAAAATTTGGTGAGTCTGGGGCACAGGATCAAACCCATGTGTATTGCAGGGCCCCTCTAGCCACTGCACCACAAGGGTCTTTAGCAAAAACAAACCGAAAATCTAGTGAGAGGCATGCACTTTGTGATTTATTGCCTAGCGATTTCTTGGAGTTATGTGGACCCACTTGCAGAAATCATCCGCGTTCATTTTGAGACCATCTAATCCAAATCAAATTGCAAGCAAGCTGCTCTTGCTACAAAATCGCTCGCCACTCATTGCCAACTCCTCATTGAAAAACACTCAAACAGAGTGTTTTTGTTCAATTTTTTTCCTTTTTTTAAACAAATTTATTATTGTTCCTATGCCTGTCTTTGGTCGGCGTAGTCCGCTTTTCCTATCCGCTTGGTTCATATTATTCGTCAGCGAATTTCTAGACGAAACAAGCACAGCTCAGCAGTGAATAAATGATCAACATGATCAATTCGTGAAATCTACGTGGATTGAATGGGTTTTCTCTTCTACGAACTAAAGATTACTCTGACATCTTAAGGTTATGAAGTCGTATCAGCTCGTATCACTTGTATAAATTGCAATTTTATTGATCACCGAGATACCCAAGAGGACTCAAGTAAAATATCCATTCGTCTCAATCACACACCAAAGCACCTTAGCGGACGCCACGTACAAGGGAAAACAAAGAGGATCGCATATCTTGGTATGAAGGCCTTATTTTTACTGCTTGTGGTGAATTGATAGCTAAAGGTATCTTGGGAAGATTTGCAGCTGTATAACCCGAGGCACCCCGCAATACACATGAGATCGATCCCAGCACCCGATGCCCACCAAGCCCTCCATCCGTCTGGTGTCAGGAAATTGGTACCAAACTTGTCTGGGAAGATACCTGCACTGGCTTGATACATTGATAGACCACCGCGAGTCATTGTAAAAGCCAGATATGTGTATGTGCATTCAATCACCTCTACGATGCTTGATGACGTTGAATGCATGGCACATCCCCCAGAGATTGATCAACGCGGAGAGCTTTTCTCCATTGTTCCAGTGTAGACAATCTTGAATGGTGTTAAAGTTAAAGTGTTCATTGCAATTCAACATCCAGGAACTCCGCTTAGCAATCACAAGAAGGTAAAACATTACTACTTACCTATTAACTAACCTACTTGGATGACCCCTCTTCACTGTTGGTCATCACAGGGTGGTCCCAGCACAATTTCCATTCGTTTCTCTTTTGCGAAACCGTCATCTATGGTGGTGGTTTGCAACGTCTCGCCCTCGCGTCCAATTTCGAATGTTTAAAATCGATCTCATCTACGAAGAAATCGTTGTCAGAGACGATGTAATAATGGTAGCGTGCAACACTTCAACACACTGCGGTGCATTACCTCTGCTACCTGGTTCGGCACACATTTTGCAAACTTGAGAGAGCGTAGTGCTTTTGTGAAACGAGTTCAATTTAGTTTGATGACCTATCACAAGTTTCTAAAACTGTGTCTGGACAAATCTTTTTTGTATAATCCATCATTAACTCTGCGATGCCAATCCCAGCACATCCGGGTCCTTCGTTTTGCCTGTCTCTCAGCTAGTTTTATTGAACTTTCGCCATCAGCAATCACCCATCAACGCAACATACTCTGCCATTAAAAAGAAAAAGGCAGTAAATAAAAGGGTTAAGATTGTGATTATAACTAAACCTCAGCTTAACTGGGTTCAATGCCGATTTGGGCTCCCCAGATCAATCCCGTTGACGGGTGATTGCTAATGGCAAAAGATCAATAGAACTAGCTGAGAGACAGGCAAAACGAAGGACCCGGATGGTGTGGTGGTGAAGTGCGCTACTCCCTGGAAAGGACAATAGCGCGTTCGTTCCCCACCGCATACACCTGCGGTCCAGACTTTTGCAAATATCTCAGCATTATATATCAAAGCAGAGGTTTCTTCCTCCTAATTATGATGAATCAATCTACAGTATTTTTTCTCAAACATATCCATGAAGATGCACTGACATAGGCCGCGCTTTGGCCAATTGCTCCTTTTCTGCCTCTAAACAGTAAGTTCTCGAAGAATGCAGTCACAAAAAAGTCTAAGCACGACAAACCGTGAACAAATAGATTATTTAACGACACAAATATAAGCCACATGAAATGTGTGGCGGCGAGACCGCCGTTAATCCTCGCTTGGACAGTGAAAGTGCATTCATCTGAGTTCTCTTGGATTCCTTCTGCTTCTGTCTGACACCTCAGGTCTTTTAGTCGGAAGCCTGTTCGATAAAAAAAAAAACAGAGTCACGATAGCACCAGTGCAAAATAACGATCTCACCTTTTTGTCTTCACTGGAGTGCCTTAGGCTCAGCAATGAAGAAAACCACTACATGTTGCTACCTGATGTAGTGTTTTAAGTACGTCGAACTTGTTGAGAGTGTAGATAGTGATGTCAACAGTCCCTCTTTAAAACGCAGATTATTCGAAAACCTTTAGCTTCCTGATAATGAATCCACCTCTACACGACAGACAAAAAAGTTCTTGTGGAAAGCGACTTAGCTCGAACGAAAAGCGCGAGAATATCAACTGATATTCGAAGATTATCAAATCAGACAGTACACTGAACAGCACCCAAAATCATAGCTGCCTCTTTTAGGATTTGATTTATTCATCGTTTTCTTTTGTGGCAACTGCAATCTCATTTTCTCTTCCCTTGCATTTTTTACATTCGACATTTTTAAAGTTTAAAGGTGCGCAAGAAAAAAAAGGGCAAGTGGTACAGCATGATAAAATGAGTCTGTCATTGGTAGGATTTTCGGTATCATACAGCTTCAATTAAGCCAATTTTAGCGAATCTTTGCATCTACTAATAGTCATACTGTAATTTCGACTAAAATATGTTAAAATAGGAGTGACCTTAGTTGTAACTCAACGTGGGCAATATTCATGGCAAGATTATGCAAGTATCACCGTCCGAGTAAAAAATCTAGTGAACCCAATGCAACGCCCTTTGTAGATTTAAAGAGAGCTCGTGAAAAGCGATTGCAAGGTTTTTAAATTTTTCAAGTTAAAAATAAAAAATAAAAAAATAGAGTAATATAAAAATAACTTTTAAATTTAAAACTTAAAAAGATTTACTAGCTGAGCACAACAAAACACTTGATGTCATCCGAAGGAGTATTCCGAGGATTCATCCTCCCGGCAAGGTCTCCCAAGCTGCGGAGGAGTCCGGCGTTTCCACCAGGAAGCCCAGCTAAGAGTAAACTAATACCAAAGCCCACCACCGTCCTGGTTTCAAAGTAGTCGCGTGCCACAAGGACTACTGACCTGCACCAGACTTTGGCCAGGCTGTCGTCGGCACTCCAGGGAACCACAATGGCTAAATCAGCAAATCTCTAGAGAAAAGAGATTATTCTGGGGCGCGTACAACTAGTGGAAACGGGCCATCCAAGTATCTAAGTGAGAAGCGCTAAGTATGCCTTTAGCGAAACTCTTGGGAGCATTTGGGTGAATGGGTCTGCGTACATGTATTATCAAATACTCATGTCCTTAACTTTTTCGATCCAGGAGATTGTAGATACTAGCACAACCGCATATGGAATACTTTTGACATTGACGAACACAATTGTGATAAGAAGGCCGCTAACAATCAGCTTACTGTGGATACATCAAAACATGAAATGTGGAGGTGATTCGCTTGTCCTACGAGCAGGAAAAGTCACAGAGCTAACAGGATTCTTTAGTTGATGCCTAAGTATGTATTCTAAACAAGGTGGTGTTGTCCTCTTCTCCCCTACCCACCACCTCCTACATGCCATCAAGTGTATAACTGTTTTAGAAGCCTACTAAATTTTATTTAGGTGACTTTAACTTTTCTGATGTAATCCATTTTTGGAATATTCTAGTGAGACCGTACTTGCCAAATACCCTATAGTTGATATAATGCTTAATTTTTTCACTCGTCTACAAGCTTTTTCCTATAATCCGTTTTGATTTCAGTTCTTAAGTCCAATTTCAGGGCCTAAAAATGGTTGCTGGGCAAACTGTTGGCACGGATACGATACAGTGTGCGAATAGCAACGCATACTGCTACAATATGACGGCGAGTGCTGCCGCCTTGATCGACATCGTCAAGGCGGGTTGCTCTTTGTGGAGGTGCATGGTGAGTGAGCTTGATGTTATTATCGTAGGTACGCTCGACACATCGGAATGCTCTTCGAATTTGCTCACCTGCGGAGTGCCTTATAGGCCAACGTTCACTATACAGATGTGTAGTTACTAACTTTGATGACCGTTCCTCGCATGTTATGCTGGTCTTAACACTTCCTCCATAGGTTTCGATATCATTCTACCGCCATAAAATTTCGTTTGATTCATGTATGCGTTCCCTGCTACTGGACTTTTGGTATTCCTGCGTCCTCCTTGACATGTTGGATGCTGCACGACCGTGATTTTTCACGTAATTTTGAGATAGTGCTAGAGTGCTCCCAGATCTTCGCCACAGATACTAGCAGCTCTTCAGATCGGGTGGAGAGAAGCTTGCTCTATTGCAACTCGAATTCTTCCGGAACAGAATAGTGGTAAAGCACTTTTTGAGAGTTTCCTTAGTGAAGAATATCCGTCTTTGAATGACTTGCCACGTGGGTCTCTAATGCAGGTGCCTCAGGCTTTAACTTCAGACCTCAGTAAATAAACTTTTATTTTGAAACCGGCTTTCCTTGAACCTCGGTATCACTAATCAATATGTATTCTTTCTTTGATGAGCTTACACGAGGTTGATGATGATATTTA